CTGTGACCAGCGTGAACCACAAGCCTGGCGGACGTGACGTCACCAAGGGGAGAGGTCAGAAACCAAGGAGAAGAGAGGCAAGACTATGTGCTCGGAGCTAGCTGATCTTTGTATAAAACCCCCTGCTGTCAGGTTGGTACAGAGTACAGACCTGGCAGTGAAAGGGTTAAACAAATATTTGTGGAATAAGCGTACCTTACCATAATTAACTTTCTTGATGGATTTGTTAAGGGGGGGGGGTTCCCCAAAGAGGCGTTTACCATCAAAGGGAATGCATAGAAGGTGTTTTTTACAAGCATGTTCAACAGACCAAGCTTTGAGACACAAAATGTGTATGCACAAAAATAAGAGAGATTTTTGAAACTTGTCGAATGACATTTTCAAGAGCATCAACACACAACAATAAGGCTGAAGGCATCAACTGTAAGTGTTCTAAGAAGGAAGGGTCTTCAAAGAGGTTCCTGGTCTCTGTTCATGCATCTCGGCCAGTTAGTAATAGTCTGGCAAATAGACATTATAGCAATTGATGGCTTTACAGTAAAATGGCTTCAAATGCCTGTCAACTGAATCCTTAAAGTCATTATCAAGACAATTAAATTGAAATTGCACAGAGCAGCCCCAAACCTCATCTTCTGGGGTCCCTTGCTGGCTTTCTTGGAAGCTTCACCTTTTGTGTCTGCCAGCATATCAAGCAGCTTGCTATGGGAGCACACCTGCGGGCATGTTACCAAACCAGGCTGTGTGCATCCATAAACACAAACAGGGTGGCTTGGCTCTGCCCCCTGTTCTCTGATCTCTGATTGAGAGTAGCAGGTTCCCTCTTTGCTGCCTCTCTGTCCTCAGAATGCAGATATAGAGGAGAGAGCCAATACAGACTGGAACAGCACTAGATCAAGTGAGGTCTCAGGTAAGTATTTGGGGGGGGGGGGGGGGGGGGGGGCTATACTGTTAATGGAACATTTTTTACCTTAATGCAGGGAATACATGACGTAAAATTATGACTTTAGAAACATTTTAAAAGAGGGAACATCCTCAACGGGAACTGTGAGGTGTTTACTGAGGACTGAAAGGGCAGGGCCCACCACTAGAATATACAATTTCTTTTTAAGATCCTTTTCCATAGAATAAATATAAGCAAAAAGTGTATGCCTTTTCAGGGCATAGTCAAGCCTCAAAGTGCACACTTAATCTGTGCGTGTATGGAAAAGTCTTTTTAGACTTAGGCAGTCTTTTAGTACTCATAACGGTCCATGATGTGTTTCCACAGAATTTGAAACAAAGCCATAGCTTTTACCTCATCAGCTTCAGGAGAGGAAAAAATCCTCGGCTAGAAAATGTCCTCACTACTTTCCTGCATAATACCCTCAGTTTAAAGCTTCTGATTCCTGAACAAGGTCAGAGGGAAAAAATCTCAACATCTACACAATGAGTACAACATAAGCCTGCTGAACCATATGTGAACATGACAGATACAATGTGCTAAAGTAATTCCAGGCCCAATTCATTAAACTAGCATGCATATATTAGTTATCACAATTATCAATATAATCTCATTGTGTAATATCTGAGAAAATTAGCCTAAATAATATTCAGTTAGCCACTAACATGCTATATATTGACACACCCAGTTTCCAGATTGTATATAACAAAAGAATATAAGAGTAACAAATTCAAAGAAACAGTGAATATATATTAAGATATAATTTAATAAATAAAGTAATCATACCAGCTTATATTTTAAATTATTTGCACATCATGAAATTGTTACTAGAAAACATGTAAACAAGTTACCTTTCCATGCAAAAATATCAATTAAAGTCTACTTTAACCCAAAAACAAATATGTAATACATTGCAGCTTTCCAGTCCTTATATGCACTGGTTTTCCTTTCAGTCTTTTTTTCCTTTATTTTAACATGGTGATCCTGCCAGTAACACACTTCCTGTCTTATGGTGGCTGCACTCACTCCTCCACTCCCTATTGAGGAACACTGTAGCCACCCTTAGACAGCAGCACTATCAACCAATCAAAAGTGTGTTAGGTGGACAAGTAGATTTATATGGACTTTGCAATTTAAAGCGGAGTTCCACACACACACAGTAAAAAAACTGTAGCTGCTGACTTTTATAAAACAGCCACTCACCTGTCCCACAATCCCGCGGTGTCCTCCCCGCAGCCCATTTCACCAGCTGTCTGGTGTTCCAGGTGCCTGCATCTTCAGTGTAGGCACCCAGCTGTGACAGCTTGCAGTTTCACAGACAGGTGCCCACTGAGCATGCGCAGGCAGCGCTGAGCTTCCTGAATGGCCCCGTAGTCTTCTGGGACCTGTCACGTGTCCCAGAAGACTATGGGGAGAGAGGGTAGGAGGACAACTTCTGCTTCCGATTGCCTAGGTGATCACAGCAGAAGTATTAGCGGGTACCTGTCAAATCCGGTTAACCGCTCCCCAAAGGTGCCAATCCTTAATGGGGAGCGGGGGACCAGTCTTTAAAGCGGAACTTCCCCTTTTGGGTGGAGTTCCGCTTTAAAGCCAATATTCAGCTAACAATTTAAGCAGTTATAGCAACAGTTTTTTTTCCACTTGGGATTATGGGTTTACATAAATTAAAAAAAAGCTAACCATTATAAGCACCCCTGTCAGTGTTAGATGGTTTGTCCCAACCCACTACCTGCCACTTTTGCTGGACAGATTTTGGGGTAAATTAACTCAAACTGGAGCAGACAGAATCTGGAGCAGCTGTGTATAATAATCAATCAGTTTCTATCTTCAGCTTGTTCAGTAAAATCCGACCATAGACAGCACAATTTTCTTTTCTGCATCCAAGAGTTGGCTCAGTCAGTCAACAATGACTGTGTTGATGGGGGAATCCCTCCTGCTGAGCGATTTGTGTTTTCTCAGTGGGGGGAGCCATCCCCGCTGGGGAGAACACAGTGATTAATGCAATAATCGCATGTAAAACCCTACAGACTGGTTGTACCCAAGCTGATCAATTAACTTGGATACATTCAGCCTTCTCATACATGGCTCGAATTTCATCCAGTCCCTGCTGAACCGGCTGAGATTCAAACTGTCTATGGCCAGCTTTAAGCTTTAAAAATGAATCTGATTCGCTGCTATGCACAACTGCTCCAGATATTGGCTGTTAAAATCTTAGCAAATTCCCTTATTTGTCTTTTAAAGGATGTTGAAAAATATCACACTTACTGACAGGATCAACAGATAATAAAACCTGGGGGGCTTAGAAAATCAAAGAAAATCAAAGGCTGCTGGGTAAATGCTAGTGGCAAGCTACATTATGAGTATCATCAGACTAGATCAGCCTTTCTCATCCTTTTAACCCCAGAGGAACACTTGAAATAATTTTCAGATCTCAGAGAACCCCTCTAAAAATCAATTTATTGGTGGCCAGTGGGAAAATGACCAATACAGTGGCTAATAGGAAAGAATGCCATCTTTACAGACAGCTAAAAAAAATCATTAGTGTCAAGCAGCTGTCTCTGCCAAGTAGTATGGAGCCGTGACCTATGCAGGTACAATCAAATGGGAGGTCAGTCACAGCTTAAGGAACACCTAGCAACTTCTAGGAGGAACCCTAGTGAGAATGGCTGGACTAGATAAATATCTAGTTTACCTTGAATCCCTGCTTTATGTACTTTAAAATGACTAGATCATGTATGAATGAGCTTTGTTTAAGGTCAGTTGTGGATCCACTGGTGAATGCTCAATCACACTTATGCCTTTAAAAGCTGAGTTCCAGATATGGAAATTTTTACATAGTTACATTGGTGCAGCTTGGACCACTGTAAGTATGTATGTGCCATACTGGTAGGATACCCTTGGAATCTGGAAATCTTCCAGCTTTAGGAACAACTACTACAGTGATCTCCACTAGCTTCTGGGTCTCGTGCTGCTCACTGAACACAGGAGGTGCTCAACATGGACACCATTCAGAGAACACTTTCCATTAGACAAGGTGGAGATTTAATGTCACCACCCCACCTCTCCACATCATCCAGTCAGAGAACACCTCCTATTCACTAAGAAAATTAAACATGTTCCCTGAATTCCACCTGTGCAGAGCGAGCGATCTCCTGTGTTCACAATACAGCAAGGCAGCTGCTCGGCACTGGACCCGGAAGCTAGTGGAGTACACTGGAGTAGCGGTGCCTACTACAGTGACTTCCAGCTGGACCAAGCTGGACCAATGTAATGATGTAAAAATTGCCCTACCTGGAATTCATTCATAATGAGATCTATTCCATTATAGCTGATAGCATTGAAGAAAATTTATCAGGGCAATTAACTATAATGGCATAGATATTAAAATACATTTTTGCATGCAGTTTATTTCACATCACCAAAAAAACACAAGTGTAAAGCTGGCCATAGACAGATCAAAATTTGTCTGGGTCAGCAGGAACCAGCCAAACTTGAATCTATCTCTGGGCAGGCTGGTTGTACTGAAGTCAACCCATGTTTGAAGGAAAGACAATTGCATAATGTATGGTCAGCCTAAGAACAATTCTTGTGGGCCTTTTATCTTCAGAGTAAGAATGCTTTGAATTATCTTTTCCCTCACTAGTTTTGCTGTCACAGTTATTGGCTAGGTTTCTGTTGCAGCTTAGCTCCATCTTTGTTGCATCCTGTTTTCCTCCATATACGTGTCTCCCACTGCCATCTCCATAGCATCTGTTCAATAGTTTGGTTGCTGTTCCTCATATTCAGCCTGCTGCCTGGCTCTCATTGCCATCTTCATAGCATCTGTTGCATACTTTGGTTGCTGTTCCTCATATTCAGCCTGTTGCCTGGCTCTCATGACCATCTCCATAGCATTGGATGGTCCTGTGTTGTGCTGTGGCTCTTGGTACACAGCCTGTTGCTTGGCCTTCATTACCCTCTCTATAGCACTTGGTTCTGCAATGTAGCCTAGTTCGTCTGTGTCACGTTCAGACTGTTGCCTTGCCATCTTAATTTGAGCAATTGTATTAGAATTACTGGGTGTTTTACTGTTCATTGGTGGGGAGTCCTCTTCTAGTTCTGCTTGTTGCCTTGCCCTCATAGCTAATGCCAGGGAACTGGAGGCACCGCTACTTTGAGGGAACTGTGGTTTGGGTTCTGTGAGGAAGAAAAATGCAGATTTGTGAGGGAATGTCACAGAAATAATTAGGAACCACATTTGCAATGAAGTATGATAAAATGTGCAGCTTAAAGGTGTTTACAGATCTGAGTCAAAGAATTAGGTGATAACACCCCCCCCCCTAATCCCGCCCCCAACACCCACACCCACACATATGCATTCTTGGATACATGCTTCAGTCTGCTTTCTAGATGATCAATGCATTGCAAGTAATTGCATTCTGTTAAGTAAATGGTTAATTCTCAGTCTGCAATATAGTAGCAAGTATTGCATAAGTAAATACAGTCATTACCGAAATTGTTGGCACCCTTGATATTTTTCCTGAAAGCTACTAAGTGTCAGCAATTCTCCCTGAAACGTATTGCATTCACACATGTGTTATTTGCTAAAACACATGAAAAAATCTTACAATTCCCTTTGTGTGTTTTATTGGGACAAAACAAAAAAAGGGAGGAAAGAAAGCAAATTCGACATAATGTCACACAAACCTCCAAAAAATGGGCTGGACAAAAGTATTGGCACCCTTTCACAACTGCGGATAAATAAGAATGTTACAAGCTGTGATGCTCCTGTAAACTCACCTGGGGCAAGTTCAGGTGTGGGCAATATGTTTAGAAATCACACCTGAAAGCAGATAAAAATACAAGAGACGTTCACTTAACCTTAGTGCATTGTGTGTCTGTCTGTGCCACAGCTAAGCATGGACAACAGAAAGAGGAGACGAGAACTGTCTCTCGAACCAAAATGTGGCAAAATTATCTCAACCTGTTAGTTAACCCAGGAATTGTCATGCAATCAACAATCTCAAGGTTCCCAAGTCCATCTCCAGAGAACTAGATTTGCCTTTGTCCACAGTGCGCAACATTTTCTCAAGTAAGTTTGCAACCCATGGCACTGTAGCTAATCTCCCTGGTCGTGGTACGGATGAGGAAAATTGATGAAAGATTGCAACGCAGAATAGTCCGGATGGTGCTGATAAGCAGCCCCAAACATGTTCCAAAGACATTCAAGCTGCATGTGCAGGCTCAGGGAGCATCAGTGTCAGCGCGATGGACTTCCGTCGACATTTAAATGAAATGAAACGCTATGGCAGGAGACCCAGGAGGACCCCACTGCTGACAACAGAGACATAAAAAAGCAAGACTACAGTTTGCCAAAATGTACTTGAGTAAGCCAAAAGCCTTTGGGAAAACGTCTTGTGGACAGATGGAGACCAAGATAGAGCTTTTCGGTAAAGCACATCATTCTACTGTTTACCGAAAACGGAATGAGGCCTACAAAGAACAAAACACAGTACCCTACGGTAAAATATGGTGGAGGTTCAATGATGTTTTGGGGTTGTTTTGCTGCCTCTGGCACTGGGTGCCTTGACTGTGTGCAAGGCATCATGAAATCTGAGGATTACCAAAGGATTTTGGGTCGCACTGTAGGGCCCAGTGTCAGAAAGCTGGGTTTGCGTCCAAGATCCTGGGTCTTCCAGCAGGACAATGACCCCAAACATACGTCAAAAAGCACTCAGAAATGGATGGCAAAGAAGCGCTGGAGAGTTCTGAAGTGGCCAGCAATGAGCCCAGATCTAAATCCCATTGAACACCTGTGGAGAGATCTTAAAATTGCTGTTGGGAAAAGGTGTCCTTCCAATAAGAGAGACCTGGAGCTGTTTGCAAAGGAAGAGTGGTCCAAAATTCCGGGTGAGAGGTGTCAGAAGCTTATTGATGGTTATAGGAAGCGACTGATTTCAGTTATGTTTTCCAAAGGGTGTGCAACCAAATATTAAGTTAAGGGTGCCAATACTTTTGTCCAGCCCATTTTTGGGGTTTTTGTGTGACATTATGTCATATTTGCTTTTCTGCCTCTGTTTTATATTTGTTCCAATACATACAAAGGGAATAAACATGTGTATAGCAAAACATGTGTTAATGCAATACCTTTTTTTGTGTGAAATACTTGATTTTCAGGAAAAATATCAAGGGTGCCAACAATTTCGGCCATGACTGTAAGTAGTATTACTTATTTGAAGAATGCTTTAAATGTGTCTTCAGCAGTCAGCTAAGTGTCAGCAAGATGCCCTGACACCTTTATCTTATTCACACATAGGTGTTATTTACTAAAACTGGAGAGTGAAAAAATCTGGTACAACTCTACATAGAAACCAATTAGTTTTCAGGTTTTATTGCCAAAGCTTAATTGAACAAGCTGAAGTTAGAAGCTGATTGGCTCCCATACACAGCTTCTCAGTGCTCCAGTTTTAGTAAAACTACTCCATACTGTTTAATGTGAACATTGTTGTTGGTACAGTATATACATATACTTTTCTTACAGGTATGTAAACATGACTTTCCATTTCTAAAATGTCACAAGCTCCTAGTTCTACCACTTCTTCATACCTTTAACTTTTCTTTCATGATGTGGGGGTATGTTTACATACACCAGACAGGGAAAATACAAGCAGACAGGTCTGCTGCGAAGGGTCATTAGTCTGTGTGGATCAAATAAGAACTAGTCCTCTACTTCATTTCTGCGAGCTGGGGAGTAGTAGACTGTACAGTATATAGAGCATCTTTTGGGGAAAAAAATCTGTCTCTCGTTCATGTATATTAAAGTGTTAGTTAACCCAGGATCATGCAATCACTATATGTGGTCTCCCACAGTACACATAACATGGAAATGCAATTATTTTAGGAAATATAAACTACTAAATACCTTTTCTCATCAGTAGTTAGAGCAGTCTTTTGATTTCTATCAGTGTCTAGCAGAGCACTGGTTAAAGATAGTAGGAGGAGTTTTCAATCTCCCCTGATTGTCCTATGACCCTCTGTCTGGACAGCTCTGATTGACCCTGTGCTGATCACATGCACTCACCCAAGAAAAAAAAAACACTCTCCAGCAATACACACCAAACTAAGCATGTGCAGCTTGCCCCAAGGCTCTGTTCTATCAGCAGATGGATTGGGGACAGTAGAAGATATGGAGGATTGGAGAAGACAGGATTAAACATCCTTTTTATACAATGCCCAGGATTACCTCCTTAGGTTCCACAGTGGGTTTAGCAGGCATGCTTTACATGTGCTACATACAACTCCTGTATAAACAAAACTATTGAGTAAAGCTGGCTATACACTTAATTTTTTTTCTGTTCATCTAGCAGGCTGAACAAATGAAAACGAATCAATTATTCCATCCACACAAACAAGGTAGATGGGTTTAGCTATTAAACAATATTGCACAGGTTTATTGGCCTGTATTCAATCGGTTACTGCTATCTTTCTCACTCCCTTTGTTTTTGTACAGTATGTCTCATATGTTTAGTGGATACTATAGCCATTCGTACTTTCCTCATGTTATTGCTCTATTATGTTAAGAAACCCATTATTCTGATGTGGAAGAGCACCTTGGCACCTGGTCATACAGTTTGGAAGGCTTTGATAAACAAGGCTCTACCCTTATACATACCCACATACTCTATGTGGCTTCAAAATTTGATAAAGAGTGTGTTGCGATTTCGTAGTTTTCACCACCATGTCTCATTCTAAATTATGGTATTCAAATTGTCCAACTCTTGACCTCTGTAATGCCTGTGTTGTACTGGATACAAAAAGTGGATGGAGGAATGCCCTCTGCCCTGACATTGCATTCTGACAGCAGAACCTAAAGAGAAGCTTCAGTCTCCCTCCAAAAAATTAAGAGTCAGCAGCTACAAATACTGTAGCTGCTGACTTTTAATATAAGGATACTTACCTGTCAAGGGGTCCAGTGCTGTCCTCACCCGAGCCGATTCTTCAATGGGTTTCGTGTGCAGGCACCGGCATCTTTGTGAATGCACTTTGTGAATGGTCCCCTAGTTTTCTGGGACTTGTGATGTGCCCAGAAGGCTGTGGGCCAAGGGGGTGGTGAACTTCCACTCAAATCACTTAGCTGATCCCCGTGGGAAATGCCCCCCCCAAAAAAAAATAAGTGTCAAATGTAAAGGGGGGGGAGGGAGGGAGGAAAACAAGCACAACTTTTCCTTTTGGGTGAAGTTCCACTTTAAAAGACAACAGTTTTTTAAGCATGTCCTTTAGACACAAATTGAAGGACTGGTGTCAAATAGGAATGGCTACACACTGTTTGAAATTCAACTGGTCCCTACTGAACTAGTAGTTTATGTAACTTACCATTAACAAGCTGTGTGTCTGGGGCTTCACTGACAGACTGAATCTAGAAAATAATAAAATATTTGAATAAAATATTTAAAACAGCTGATAACGTCTACAATACAAATGTAAGTAGCTGGTAGTTTTGTTTTTTTTAACATTATTTATATAAACAATTCACGGGACATACAGACAACAATAAGGCAAGTAGATGAATGTCACTATAAAAGACCATGAACCAGGTTCAGTCCAGTTACATATAAAATCAATCGCCAACCACAAAAACAGCATTGCATAATACACGGGGTCGAGAGTCAATACAATCAGACCAGCATGCTAAACATAAGCAAACACTAACAGCATAGAAAACAGAAAAAAAAACAAAAAACAAAGAAAGGAAACAAGAAAAAAAAGGGGGGGGGGGAAATGAAGAAGAGAAAAGAGGAAGAAAGAAAGGACACAGCAAAAGGCAAAGCGAGAGTGACGAAAATGACGAAGGGACTTCAAGCCATTGAGTGCAGCAAGGAGTCATATTCACTGGAGCAGGTAAAGAGAGACCAATGGACCCATCTCTGGAGAAACTGAGCCTCTTGACCTCGAACCACGGCCATAATATTTTCCATTGAGTGTATGACCTCAACCCGAGATAGCCACACAGAGATAGAAGGGGGAGCCTCCTGCTTCCAGAGAGCTGTTTGAAACGTTTCCTAGAAAGATCAGAAAGGAGCAGCAGATATCCCGTACAGTAATCCCCCAGATCAAATTTAGTCAGGTGTTTAAAAAGATCCCTAACTTTCACCCAAAAAGCAGTCAATTTCCTACAGGACCAAAATATATGTAAGAGCGAACCATCCTCCTTACAACGCCAGCATACCTTCGTGACCTCAGGGAAGATCTTATGCAGGATGATCGGAACCCTGTACCACCGTGTGAGCAATTTATATCCCAATTCCTGGTATTTACTTGTCACAGAGGAACGATGGGCAAAATACAAAATATGGTCCCTCTGCTTGGTCAGAAAGGTCCTATGCAACTCTTCCTCCCACCTGAGAAGAATAACGTAAACGGCGGCACAAACTTATCAGTCGGTTGACTGAGCAACTTATAGGCTAGCGAGATTGCATGTGAGGTGGGCTCAGGGTTAACATAAAGATCCTCAAAAGAAGTACTAGGATCCAAGTTCAACCCCCTATGAGTCAAGGAAGACAAAAAATTAACAAGTTGCTGTAGCCTCCAACTGTCTAGGAAGGAAGGACAAACATGCCCTGTATATCCATCGGGGACTTCATCCGTGGCCCGGTCGTAAAGTTTCAAAGAAGGAAACTACTGCCAACAGATAAAGATCAAAATCCCTGGCAGAAAGCAAGGGTTACCCAAAACAGGATATAAGCAGTATATCGTGGATCGGACAGGTCGGCCCCCGCACAACACCTCGCAACCCCCAAAGAAGTGCTCAGCAAAGGATGGGATTTGACGAACGGAATTTTGTTGGGATCCAGCCACAGGACACAATGAAGAGGAGTGTCCACTGCACATTGCTCTATCTCTACCCATTGCTGAAGACCGCCATCCCTACACCAGGAGAGGATCCTAGCCGGATGTATCGCTTAATAGTATATAACGGGGTCCAGGAATGCCATCCCTCCCTGGCTCTTGGGCAACGACAAATAAGAGTGAGAAATTCGAGGGGGAGATTTCGCCCAAATGAAACGCAAAAAGACACCCCTCCCCTTTCTTCAAAAACGACAGAGACTGCAAATGTAAGCATTTGAAAAAAATATAAAAGTCGGGGCATGATATTCATCTTAAGTATGGCATTCCTACCCATCCAAGAGCGGGCAAGATCATTCCATTTGCACAAATCTGCCGTGATAGCATCAAGGGCAGGATGGAAATTGGTTTGGAACAACTGATCTGGAGTATGGGTAATCTTGACCCCCAAGTATGACAATGAGGATGAAGCCACCTGAAATGGAAAGGAGGCACAGATGACTTGAAATCTACTCTTGGGCAAAGAGACATTCATAAACTCCAACTTATGACTATTAATTTTGAAATTCGAAAGAGATCCATAACAAGACTGCCACAAAGAACAAAAGGTCATCGGCAAAAGCGGCCACCTTATGTTTCCGTCCTACCCATAAGTACCCCCTAACATTCTGATTCAGACACACATGACGCAAAAGGGGCTCTAGAGTCAAAATGAAAATCAGAGGTGACAAAGGACAACCCTGGCGAGCCCCATCAGACAAAGAGAAATAAGCAGAGGTGGCCTCATTCATGTTGACGGCAGCTAAAGGGTGAGAATATATAGCATTGATCCATGTAAGAAATCATGGTCCCACCCCCAGATATCAGAGCGTTTCCTTCAGGAAAAGCCAGTTCACCCTGGCAAAAGCCTTCTCCACATCTGCAGAAAGCAGACACAGGGGTAGCTTACGGGAATGAGCCCAATGAATGACATTCAGGACCCTAGAAGTATTGTCCTTAGCTTCTTTTCAGGGCATAAAGCCCACCTGGTCAGGATGGACTAGCTCCTGGAGAAGAGGCAACAACCGAAGGGAGAGGATCTTCGTAAATATCTTCAGATCTGCATTCAAAAGTGAAATGGGCCTATAATTCTGACAATGAGTGGAATCCTTTTCCTCCTTCGAAATGACAGTTATATGCACCCTCAATGAATCCAAAAGGCAGGGAATTGCCCTCAAGTAGAGAATTAAAGGCCGCCACAAATCTAGGCGCCAAGATGGGAGCAAACGCTTTATAATAATCCCCCTTGAAACCATCAGGTACCGGGGCTTTCTGGGGTTTAAGAAGCTAAACTGCGCCAAAGAACTCATCGGACGCAATTGGAGCACTCAAACAGTTCGTCACCTCTGAAGAAATCGTAGGAAGACCCGAAGCAGCTAGATACTCCCCAATCTGCCTCCGTCTGGCGACAAGCTGTTTGGGTGTCAGCAGAGCATGCAAATTATAGAGCATGAAGTAATAAGAGCGGAAAGCCTCCAGAATTTCAGGCAAGGAATAGCCACGCTGTCCCTGCCCTTTATCAATGAAGGGAATGCAACTTCTAATAGAAAGTTCCCCGCAGAGAGCGCGCTAACAACCTACCCGGCTTATTCCCAAGTTCATAGCTCAGCCTTTTTAATTTGGACTTAGTATCATGCATAAGCAAATCTGCCAATTTGCTCCGCTGGGTCCGAAGTTCACCAGCCACTGCCTGCGCCAGGGACTTCTTATGAGTCCGCTTCAGGGCAGCCACCACCTCCAATTGATGCTGAAGTAGGGCCAGACATTCTCTTTTCAACTCCAACGCTTTTTGAATAAATACTCCTCTCATGATGCACTTCTGCGATTCCCATTGAAGAGTAGGAGAAACCTCCGGGGTATCATTCTCCGATAAAATCTGAGTCAGGGATCGTGAAAGGTCCTCCAAAATGGGGCCCTCCTTCAACAATGACGCATGGAGCCTCCACGACCAGGGTTTCAACCTCACCGACCCCAACCGTAAGTCCAGAGTAATTGGACTTACGGTTGATCCAAGATAGTTTGAGTAGCTATCAAAGTACTTCCGGAAGCAGGGACTGGAAAAAGAAGAGGTAATCTATCCTGGAATAACTGTCATGAGGAAAAGAATAAAAGGAGTAATTCCGGTCAGTAGGATGCAGAATACGCCAAACATCCACCAATCTAAAAGACACCAAAGCTTTCTTGACATGCCGCAGACAAGGGTAGGAAAAAGGGCCAAGTTGAAGTCCCCACCCAGAATTACACAGCCTTCCATGAAATTCTGTAAGTGGTTCAGGATGTCTTCTAAAAATGTCAACTGAGCCTGCTTAGGAAGATAGACCGACACCAGAGTTACTCTAGGCCCCTATAAGATCCCCTTTAAGAAAGAATTTTCTGATCAATAGGCTACCATGCTGCTGTTCTGGAAATCAGGATACTCGCCCCCTTCGTCTTGGAATCAGGGGTAGTACTATGGTACAAAAGGGGGAATCTATAATTAGAGAATTTAGGAGACTTGTCTGTTTGAAAGTGGGTCTCTTGCACAAACACAATCTGCCTCAAAAACGGCAGAACTCCCGCAAATCATGGTCCTCTTCTCGGGGCTATTCAGTCCCTTTGCATTAAAAGAAACACAATTAAGTACCGACATGGCTACTAGGAAGGAAGGAGGAAAAGAAAAAAAAAAGGGGGGGGGGAGAAGAAGGAGAAAAGAAAAGCTGAAAAAACAGCAGAGAGAACAAGAGTAGCAGTCAGGCACCCAGAATGAAAGGAAAGCTCAAGCCACCCATATAGAAGTCCCCGGTTACCAAAACTTTAAACAACTCAAAACAGGAAAATTAAACCCCCACAGCTCCTGGAGACAAACAGAAACAGTTTGACAGCGTAATATATACGTTGCAAAACAGGCCGATAGGCAACAACTCCAGCATGAAAATGGAGAGGCCTAGAGAGCACAGCCAAAGGAAAGTCATACTTCCTTCCCCCACGGATCCGAACGATCAGGTATGAATCTGTTCCTCCTTGCCCGAGGCCGCTGCGGCAATGGAGTAGGTTGCACAAGTAAGTCCAGGGCTGTCTAATCTGGGACCGAGATAGATGGGACCCCCAGCAGATCAAAGAGATCCTGCAACTAAGCTGGAGTATGTACTGTCAGAGAACGATCACCTTTACGAACTGAAAGGAAAAAGGAGAAACCCCATCGATAGGTAGCTTCAGCTTCTCGCATCTTGCCCAAAAGAGGCTTCAGGATGCATCACATCTGTAGGGTGCGGTGAGAGAGATTTTGATTAGATGCCCCATTAAAGTCCATAGGACCCCTGCGCCAGGCTCTTCACAAGATCTCCTCCTTTATGATGTAAAAATGCACTCTACACAAAGTATCTTGGTGGCGACCGTCATCCATGGGAGCAGGACCCTGGATGTGATGGACCCTATCAAGCTCCAGGGCCTCATTGGGTGCTCTAATAGTGCATTCAATATGGCTGTCACCGTGGTGCGGAGGGGACGTAGCTTCAGGAATACCTTGCAGTTTAATATTATTCCTCCTACTCCTATTCTCAAGATCATCCTGATGCAGGTTTAGGGAATGCAGGTGATTCCGATACTTTGACACCGTGGTTTCCAGGGCCAAGACCCTCTGCTCCACCGCCACTTGATTTGTTGAAAGCCCATCTACCCGTACAGTGAGAGAGTTTAGGGTGTCTTTAACCTCATGAATTTCCTCTTTAAAGGCCTGCCGCAGGGTTTGGGCAAGCATCTGAATGTCCCTCTTATTGGTTAGTGTAGCAAAAAGGACTGCTCCTCAGGATCCGATAGGCCAGCCGGGAGGCCCGAGGTGCTTGGGGGACACGCTCTCTGCTGGCCGTTGCTGGTAGGTTTTATATAAAAACTTTACAATCTTGTCAGTCATTGACCTGGAAAAATTATGTAGAGAGTCATGCCTGTAAATTCTGAATGCCCTTCCTGTTCCCAAGTGACTCACCCATTAGTGAAACCACTATATGAGAACTAGCAGCTAATGTGTTTTTGTCCTTTATTAATTAATTCCAAGGGCACAATAAAACTGTACCTGCTTACTATATGGTAAAAAAAAATCTTCCCTTTTCTGTTTGCTGATTAAAAAGTTTGGCTCAGGTTGTAAATGGCTGAACACACAGAAGCTAAGCAACGGTTGTATTACTGCTTTAAGACAATCTTAACTATTTAACTAGTTCAGGCATTGATGACATTTTTTTGGTGCATGAATAGCAAGCCCATTGTACACAGAACGTTTGTAGCACCTCTAGTTTCTCTGCCCTGCTGCTGGGCCCCCCTCCCAGCATACAGCAATTGTTGGCTTTGATTAATCAAAGCAGGGATTACAGTATACTCAGAGAAGGTGTTGGCAGCTGCATCTGTAAAAAAAAAAAGCAGTCTGATGCAATGTTCATAAACAACATTTGCTCAGACCCATATAGAAATATAACATAATGTTACTTTTTTTTTATCATTCTGTTCCAGGGGCGGACTGACCATTTGGAAACTTGGGCACTGCTCAAGGGCCCGGGATCCGTAGGGGGCCCTATGAGATGCCCCTTGTACCCTTTTCATAGGCTTTTTTGAGTTTGGGCAAGGACACAGGGGCCCCATGATCTCTTATTGCCCAGGGGCCCCATGAGTTGTCAGTCCGCCCCTGTTCTGTTCAATCATCTGCAGATCAAGGATTTTTAAATAATATGTTCCTCGATTTAAATCCTTATTAACCCTTTATTTTAATCAGCCTTAGTTACCTCCTTATTCTCCTTCTCCCTTCAACTATTTTTTCTGCTTCTATTTTATTAACTATTTAAATTTAAACTTTTTTTATTTTTGTTTTGTTTGTATTTTTACACATTTACCATTTATTTACATCTTTCTCATTTAAAAAAAGTGTAAAATTGAACAAAAAAGTAATATTTAATTTGTAAATAACTTTGCACTACTTTGTACCAGAATCATATAATCTTAGTGTCAGTTAAATGGGACAAATTGGCCTATAAAATGCACACTTTTTATGTGCTGTAACACTATTTTTTATTTTCAAACTAAACACTGTTCAAAAAAGAAAATAAAAAGTATGTTTTTGTGTGTTTTTGTTGTCTAAGGATTGCGAAAAAAAAAAATAATTGTTGCAAGGCAATATCAGGAAAAGAGAGTTTTATTTGTCCTTAACCCCCCCCCCAAAAAAAAAAACAAAAAAAAACAATATATGTATTGCCTTGTTATCCTAAGTAATGGCAAAGTTTTTCCCAAATAAACAGGTCCATAGCAGAAATGTAGCAATTTCTCTGGTACCATAAGGGGTGAACATGTATGGGAGGTGAAGTGGTTGCACATGTGCACAATTTGACTGACATAACACCTAAATAACTCTAGCATAACACCAAGGTCAAGGAGCCTATATATAAAAAAAAATTGTTAGCTTTTGTTTTCCAACAAACAGCTAAGCAGGGGAGCAATCAAAAAAAAAACTGTATGACTTATCCAGGAAGGCCAATGCAATCAAATTCAAAGTTCAACTAAATTTTAAATTCCCTTGGCCTTCCCACTCCTGTTAAAGAAAAAAAAAAATATTGTCATCAATGCTTCCCTCTGCACCCTTCTCCATCCTGCAACACTAGTCGTATTCCTTTGAGCTCAGGCCTTTAAGGACACACCCTATGGGGGGGTGTCATCACGTCAGCCTCAGCTCACAGTAAAATGCTGCGGAGAATGCTACCAACATCATAATATGAGGACTGTTCTTTGCAGCACTGAAGACAACCCACTGCTGGAGAAGATCTCCAGTCATGTGACCAAACAAAAGACAGCTGGAAAACTAGTATGTACAATACAATATGTTTAAAATGTATTGCATTGTATGTGGGGTGGAGGGCATTGATGACCCCCCCCCTCATCAGTAGTGCTAGTACTGCAGTCAATTAATGTGAACCCATTTCTCTTCCAGAGCTCTGCTCTCTCCATTCAGCAGCTTCAGTTACCTTGTCACGGAGGACAGCACTGTATTTTTAGCATCTCAGACACGGAACACCCTGTCCAAGGCTACCAAGACCCCTGGAACTTGACAGAGTGGAGTGACTCCATGAGGTCAGGGAAGGGGCTCTGGCTATGCTTAGAGTATTTTTTGTTTCAAAAGTATCCCTGCCAGTACTTAGGGTACAAATGCCATCCAAGGGGCCACAAGCGGGAGTAATAAAAAAATTTGTACTGGGATTTATCTGTATCTGTAAGGCATTTATCTGTGCCACTGTATTTAAGTTATATTTGAAGGGACAGGGACTACGAAATATGTGTGCAATATATACACGAGTAGGCACAACCTTTTAATCCATGCCAAATATCAGTGTTATGTAATCAAACCCACTTTATACAGTGTATGCTATGTGCGCATCAGGGCCTAGTCTTTATGACGTGTTCCTCAAGTTCAAAAGATAGGAGGTATGGTGAGTGTCAGGAAGATTGTGCAGAAACATGAGGGGGTGCCTGTGCTTGTAAAAGTGTATGGTAAGACACTGGGGGGCTTTCAGGCTCTACAGGACCCCTTGATTTCTAATGGAGTATGGTCTGACACTCTTAATATCTTACAAACTATTGTAGGCTCAAAAGGTTGCCTATCCTGGCTTACTACATTTGTTTTTTTTTTTTGGTTTCACATGTTTGCTACAGAATTTTACAGCTTACTTTGCTCTGCATAAATACATGCATATTGACTTGAAAGTATTTTCAGTTTTGGTCAGAAACTAACCTGTCGCTGTGACGTTCTTTGCGGTACTCCATGATCGAGAACATTTGGCTTCTGTGCTTTATGGAGTTGTTGAATTAAAAAGTATTTATTCTTTCCTTCCTGCAAAGACCATGCATACCCAAACATCAAGAATGAAATACAATGTAATAAAACTTATGTAACAACCAACATTTATATATACGGACATTGTTTGGATTCCTTTTCCTCCAGTTTTAGGCTAAAAATGCTGGGCTAGTAGTGCTAACATCTAATAAACCTGACCATTTAGGACACAGGTGTCAAACTGGCGGCCCTCCAGCTGTTGCCAAACTACAAGTCCCATGAGGCATTGCAAGACTGAGAGTTACAAGCATGAGTAAGTAACAGCTGGAGGGCCGCCAGTTTGACACCCCTGATTAAGGATATGCACGTGTAAATTAGTGATACAATTTCTTTGCAAAATATGCTGGAACTGTACAGCGTCTATTAAATATGACAATCTGAAAAGCTGTTCCACTGCTCGTTGTGAGTTACTGCATATATTTCAGTGGTCTCTATACTGAATTGTTCTGTCCAGTTTTTAAGAACTTTGCAGTCTGAAGAGCCTTCACCTTTCTCCTGTAGTACCCAGAGAGCTTTACTGAGATCATCAATTGTTCTGTTAGGTCAGATTTCCTGGAGGCAAAAAATGGCCTCAAAAACAGAAGAAAATTTATACTTTGCATTTATTCTAGATTTTCATGATCAAAAGTCCCTCATCTCCTGCTGGGATGAGCAATCACAATAGTGTGTATTCCTTCTTTACACAAATTTGGAACTAAAAGAAATTTCCCTCGCCCTTTAAAAGGTTTCCTTATTTTTAATTGCACAAATGGCAATCACTGCTGTTTCATTGTGTCTTTCTACTATTTAAAAAAAAAGAAACAAATCTCCCTGCACAATGCCTTTACCTACTAATAGCACTGTAGCCAATTGCACTGTTCAGCAATGATACTGAGCAAATTCAGCCTTACTGGAAAGTTAGTTCTTGCACACTACTAGACACCACACTGTCTGCTATGTGACATAACTCAGGCCTGGCAATGGGCTACTGAGAAACAGCATTGAGTAGATCTAGTCCATAGAACGTTTAACCTGCTGTGAAGTGTTAATGGTTCACTGTATTTTGCAAAGTGCTGTTGAATATATAATATATCCAACAGGAAAGAATTAAATCACCTTACTCCTTGGTCTTGATTGCAAACACCTATACAATTTTGGCCATATGCAATATTTTTTCAAAATAAATTTCAATAAATAAATATATATATATACTGCATGTTCAAATGTGTTTTTATTACAAAATATATGAAAAATATTTTTAAAAAAAATACATTTCAAATATACTGTGTGTCTTTAAAAATAAAAATCAATTTTTTTGGAATGCATTTACAAAATATATGTAAAAATATATGTTAAAATTACTTTTTTTCTATGTAAAAAAAATATGAAGAATATATTTAAAAAAATATTTTTCATATATTTTGTAATATATAAAAACGCATTTCAACTTGCAGTAGATATATATATATATATTTATTGAAATATATTTATTTTGAATATGGCAAAAATTGTATATATTATATATTTATATATATATTTGGGAAGAATATTTTAAAAATATATTTCAAATATATTTTTCTTCTGGGATATCCTGCCCTGGGGACCAGAAATTATTCCCTGCTCATTATCTTCTTGGACACTGTTACCCTTACTGCCCCTGTGAGTTATTTTGCCTCTGGAGCCTATCAGAGAACCCTCAGCCACTGGAAGTATTGAATCTATCAATACCAGGTGTGCACATCAAGCAGACAGTGATGTGGACACCTAAAGAAGGACTCCAGGAAGTAAGTAGAAGAAGAGAGAAGGATCATCATGTACCCATGGCTTCAGTTAAAGGGAACGTAACCCATTGATGTGACTGTTTCCCAAAACAGTTATAATAAAGCATAGTTGCCAACTGTCATGGATTGCCCGAGACAGTCACAAATATTTGAAAGAAGACCCGCCATTGCTGTGTCCCAGCCAATGTCCCGGAAAACTGAGATCAGGGTGGGGGCAGCAGCAGCTAGGGGTTTCTAATTCTTTAAGAGCCTAGTACAGCAGTTAAAAAAACTCTAAACTTTCCTGGTCCAATTTGCTCAGCGGGGAATGGGGGTCCGCAGCCCACTGGGGATTATTTTTCCATTTTCAGGAGCGGCGGAGTAGTCTGCTGTGCCACCATTTCTTATTAATAAAGTAAACTCCTGGCTGCTTTTGTATCACTCCACCGCAGCAATGTAGAAGAGGCTGGGACCTGTCACTGGATTGCCTAAGCTTTGGGAAGTAAGCAACACAGAACAGTGTTGGAGACCCATTCCTCCCCTTACCTCCTCCCCCCAGCAGCTCGGACCAGATGATGACAGTGAGGACTCCGGCATGCCCAGTATCCCCAAAGCAGGGTGAGTTAGTGGGAGGGTGTGCAGCCAGCCTCAGCCCCCATTCATTCTACTAGTAAAGTGTCAGCAATGGAGGTAAGCGCTGTGCTGTGCTATATAGAAGTAAAAAAAATGCAATGGGCATATCTCTCCTTTTATTCTTGTAGCACTAGCAGTGACTGTAAGAAATTGGGTTTAAAACTACACTGTCCAGGTTCTCAGTCAGGACAGTGCCACATGAAAATTGAGTTTTTTTACTTCTATCTAAATTTTTTTTAAAAAAGTGCAGCTTCTATGTTCTCTGTTTTCATGAAGCATTGTTCTGACTGTGAGAGATTAAACAGTGTAGTTTTAAACCCAATTTCTCACAGTCAGTTCTTGCTGACGCCATCATCCATCATCGCACACCACATTTTTCACAACTGATGTTGAGTCACACCCATAATTGAATGTCCCTCCAATTAAAATGATAATCCACCCACACCGCTTTTCTGGATATACAGAAATAAAAAGTGTCCCTAAAAATAGTAAGGAAACGTTGGCAACTATGATAAAGAGGTTGTAAACCTCAGACATGAAATATGAAAAAAGCATATCCCTCTATAGTGTGTACTTGTCTCTCTTCAATTTCTGAATGTGATTTCTCTCTGCTGCCTGGTTCCTCTGTTATCAGTATAAGTCGCCTCTGGCAGTTTTTGCTGACACTAAGAGTTGGAAAAGGCATTCAGCCTGTGAGTCATATCCACAATTTTACTTGTTCTTCATATTGTATGAAGGGTGTGTGTCTCTTCCCTTCATATAGGACTCATAGTTGTCGGCTCTGTGAAGACTTCACATCCCCGGGCCCCTACTGAGAGAACTAAAGAGAAATTCTTTGATCTGTGAATTCTGAACTATCTACAGAAGAAATGGCTGCAGATACACAGCTACAACGTATGTAGGAGGATGGGTTTAATTTCTGTGTATTGTCTAATGCTTGTCACTTTACTGGGTATATGTAAGGGTTTACAACAGGGGCGGACTGACCATTTCGAAACTAGGGCACTGCCCGAGGGCTCGGGGTCAGTAGGGGGACCCATTTGATGCCCCTGGTACCTTTTTCTTAGGCTTTTTTGAGTTTGGGCAAGGACACAGGGGCCACATGATACCCTTATTGCCCGGAGGCCCCATGAGTTGTCAGTCCGCCCCTGGTTTACAACCACTTACATGAATATGTAATGAATGATATCTGTCACAGCTGCTTCTGTTCTCATCCAAACTGTCAAGCCACCAAACAGATGGTGTCATAACTGATCACATGAGCAGCACCATGACAACTGCAGATCCAACAAAAGCTAAGATGGCAGCTTTCTTGGCTGTAAAGGATAAGAGGATTTATTTCTGCTTTAAATAAAATGGACATTTAAATAATTTTTTTTTTCACATCAGTGGTTAGTTAGAGCAGTGTTTCTCAACAGGTGTTCCGCCATGATCTTCTGTTCATCACAAGCAGGTGAACAATAGATCACATCCCCAAACAGTTGAGAGGCTACAGAGTCCTGAGGAAAACAACTGACATCACTGTCCTGCACTGATCCCAGTAAGTCCTCCCCTCCTGTCCATCCCAGGAACCTGTGCGTGACATCACTCAGAAGGAACAAGAGAGGAGGGCTGGTGGGAATCAGCGCATGAGATACAATCACAATCCAGCAGGTTCCCTGTGCTACTCTGCATGAGGTAAACTGATACAGATCCTAGTATTGTGTGACCTCCAGTTTCCTCCTGGCCCCCCTGTATTATACTGTTCCCTTCTGGCCCCCCTGTACTGTTCCCCTCCTATTCCCCCTGTACTGCTCTCTCCTGCCCCCCCCGTATTGTTCTCTCCTGCCCCCCTCCCCCCCAATACTGTTCCCTCCTGGCTATCCTTACCTGTTCTCTCCTGGCCACCCAATACTGTTCCCTCCTGGGCCACTGTACTGTTCCCTTCTGGCCCCCCTATGCTGTTCTCCCCTGGTCCCCCTGTACTGTATAATGCTCTGCCCCATGATACCCTGTACACTGCTTATCTGAAGTTTGACCTGAAATTGAGCACAAGTTTCACATTCAGGAGGTAAGTTTTAATATTTATTCTATTGTTTAATGGACTTTCTAAGAATAATTGTTGTTATACCTAGATCTCAGACATTTGCAAGGGGTTCCTCGAAGGTAAAAAGGTTAAGAAACTCTGAGTTAGAGGAAAGTGGGAGGTGAGGGTGAGAGGGAGGTTGTAATATCCTGGAGCTGGGCTTTAATTAACAAAAATAAATACAACTGTCAACACATACTTACATTAGCCATTTGTTCAAAGAGATGTTTCACCATAATCTTCCTGCCTTGTACAATTTGCCAGTTAAGATAGCAAATAATCTTCTGCAAGTGAAGAAAAATAATTTTGCCACTCAAGGTTTACTGTTAAAAATGTTTTTTGCCTATACTTTCCTCCCATTCCCCCCCTCTAACACATCCTGCCCAGTGTAAAGTTTTTCTTATCTGGGGAAGCCAGTTTGTTTCCACCTGTGGGACCGCTAGGTGGACAGCTAATTCCACATCACTGCCTGCGTGTAGCCTGTGATAGATGCAGTACAAGCTGGATCAGGACAAGGAACACCATTGACTGTAACCCAGAGGTACACATATGTGCAGCTGTGTGAGCAAAGGTTTGTGCAGGCAGGGCAGCTCGTTCATTTGAATGGGCTGCCGTGCCTCCTGAAACACAGGGAAAAGGACTCTGAACTATTTTTGGAATCAAAGCCTGCATGGGAACCTCAAGTACAGTGTGGTTCCCAGTGCAAGTGAGATTTCCAGTGTGGGTGGATTGTCATTAGGATGAATGGCACCCACCCGCATCTTCTGTGTTTCATTGTGTGGGTGCTTGCAGGAACAGGTGCCGGTCCCACACAGGTGTGAATCTAGCCTATGTGCTTGTGGAATCTACTGCAATAACCAAAAGCTCTGGATTACTCCACATTTTATAAGTTGTGAGCTGTTATTTCACCTTTTAGAAGATATGGTACTGCACCTCCTCTAGCAAGATAGAGTGACATTCTGTCTGTGTATTTATTAGGGTAGGGATGAACTTCAGTTCTCTAATAAATGTCAATAATACTGACAATAAAGGGACCTGATGTTTGCAAATAGGCTGGAGGAGTATCCTTCTTTGTTGCTTTGTGAGACTAAAAAACAGACAGGGGGATTTCTTTCACAGCTACAAATTGCTTCCAATCTACAGTTGTGTTCAACAGCTTGCCTGTAAAATGGCAATTAAAGGTTAATTTCTCACATTTGTGGCTTTTTTAAATGACATTCAGTGTCTGTATAAAATAGTCAATGAGTTTGTTAGCTCTCAAGTGGATGCACCGAGCAGGCTAAATACTGAGCCGTGGGGAGCAGAAAAGAACTGTCAAAAGACCTGCATTACAAGGTAATGGAGCTTTATAAAGAAGGAAAATTATATAAAAAGAAGTATTCGAATATGCCAGTCAGTACTGTTCAGTCACTTCTTAAGAAGTGGAAAGTTCTGGGATCTCTTGATACCAAGCCAAGGTCAGGCAGAGCAAGAAAGATTGCAGCCACCACTGCCAGAAGAATTATTTAGGATACAAAGAAAAACCCACAGGTAACCTCAGGAGAAATACAGGCTGCTCTGGAAAAAGCGCACAATACAACAATACTTCAACAAAAATGATCTGCATGGTTGAGTTGCCAGAAAGAAGTCTTTACTGCGCCAATGTCAAAAAAGAATAGCATGGCTACAATAGGCATGCAGTTCATTTTTGTTCAAGTATTGTCATTTTGTGCTCCTTAAAAAATAAACACACTGTCTTTTTCCAGAGCAGCATGATTGAACGGTATTGACTTGCATATTCAAGGCTTTTCATATCTTTTTATATCCTTTTCCATCTTTATAAAGCTACATTACCTTGTATTGCAGGTCTTTTGACAGATCTTTTCTGCTTCCCATGGCTCAGTATCTAGCCTGCTCAGTGCATCCACATGAGAGCTAACAAACTCATTGACTATACACAGACACTAATTGCAAGTTTAAAAAGCCACAGTTGTGGGAAATCAATCTCTAATTGCCATTTTAACCTATGTGTTACCTTGTGTGTCTGTGCCAAGGCCAAACATTCCAGGGTATGTAAATTTTTGATCAGGGCCATTTGGGTGATTTCTGTTAATATGATTTAAAAGGGAGCCAAACAACTATGTGATAATAAATGACTTCATATGATCACTGTACTTACAGAAAATACTTTTTTTTATGATCGGTCATATTTTCAATATAAATGCCAAAATTTCATGAGTTCTGCCAGGGTATGCAAACTTTTATGCATAACTGTATGTCATGGTAAGAAATCTAATAGAAAAGTTAAGCCTGCTACACACATTCAGTTGGAAGGACAGCTGTACACATGGTCAGAATGTCAGCCGGTTCCTGCTGAACTGGACAATATTCGGACCATGTGTATTCAGCTTTAAGCTAGCTGTTTACTAGTAGATTTTTGAATGAACATTCATGCAAAAATTCTTTGTACATTTTAGGACTGGGCAAAGTTAGTTTAAAAGTACTTCACAATTTATTTGCTTTTAACATTCAATTTTGTCAAAATTCACACAGTATCTTGTGTGCTTTGGAACACCATTAACAATGTGTATAATGGTTGTAACTGCTTATGTAATTGCACAAACAAAAATCACATACACTGTTATAAATTTGTTCATTAAAAAAAAAATGTACTATCCTTCTCCTTCAAATTTTCTTGTCACTGTAAAACAACTGTCAATTTGACCCCACTAAAAATTAGAAAAACAAATAAATGTTCTTAAAATTTAAATTTTTAATTAAAACTCCACTAGCATATGGCCTAGCTGCTAACTTTTCAGTCCTTGGATATGATGGCTGCATTGCTTTTCTTTTTTCAGGCTAAGAACATTTTTAGCAAATACAGAAAATACCTGTTGATCTTGCCAGAAATGCTTTCTCTGAAATGAACTGGAATCTAAGACAATCATATCTTTCTTGTGAAAATCCATAGATATCGTGGTGAATGTAGCTGCCCAATGATAGGCAGTGTGTTATTCTCAGGATTAACAGTTAAAAACAAAAGGAAAAATGAAAGAAAAAAAAAAGAAAATGAATGCAGCCACCTCATCTGATGACTGGAAATCTACACTATTTTAAATAGCTGTTTTTGGGTTTGGTCTCCCTTCATAGAAAAGTCAAGGAGTGAGTATAGCCACCCAGTAACAGGTAGTGTGTTATTCATAGGATTAACAGGTCAAAATAAAAGGGGAAAAAAATGAAAAAACAATACAAATGCGTCCACCTAACCTGAAAACTGGTAAGCTACAAATTGTTGTTTTTGGGCTTAGATGCAGTTTAAGAACTATTACAAAAACAACAATATAACTCAACCAGAATTGTATACTTACAGAACAATCAGGGTGAGGATGTAGAAGAAGAGAACACTTTGAATTAGGTTGTGATATATCCATACTACCCATTTGGCATTATCAAAGTGGACTATCTGATCTATCCAGGTATCAATGGATTCATAAGGAGTGGCCAGATTCCTGAAGGGGCCACATGTCTTGGAAGGATTCCGTCTAAAATAAAAAGGTTGTCTTTCATTAAAAAAATGTAGGCCTGACACTATTTTTTTAGTATGTTTGGCATAATGTTTCACTATGTACAATTTTTTCAAGTGAATATTGTTTGTGAATTCTTTTATTTGATCCTAAAGGTTTTAGCACTTCCCATTGCAGGCTGGCGTCATTAAACCACTGCTTAGCAGTAATGTCAGCTTGTCAATCAAACTTCAGTTGGCTGCTGGGCTGCCTATCTGATAGGAAGAAGAAAGAGGAAGATAGCACAGACCTAGTTAAAACCTTTACATTTAACAATGTTAAAGCTCTGTTTCAGGCACGCAAGGCCATTCCTGTGCTTTGGAAATCAGAAATACCCAGAATATGGAGAATGTGAGACAGAATATGGGAATCATTTTGCGATACGATCGCTTAATTTACCAACACTGTGGGTGCCCAGGCAAATTTGAGAAACTTTGGGAGGCATGGCTGGCCACTCCGGGTCTTGCCCCATTTAATTTGGTAATGTATAGATTGTTGTAGCTATCCTCCCATGATGCATTATGCCGGCTGCCTGTAAAACCTTTCCCAGATTTTTTTAGAATGTTACACAAGGGTATTTATGCATTATACTCTATACTGCATTAATGCTACAGTGGGAGCTCTACTGTCCTACATGTGGGGCTTTATATATGACTTTGCTGCATAATATTGCTATTCCTTCTCTTCGTTTCTTTTTGTACACTAGATGGCTGGAAAAACTGAAAATTCTTTTTTTGTGTGTTTGTTCCTTTCTTATTATTTTTCTTTTGGATGTGTGTATGCCTTAAACATTAATAAATGATACTTTTAAATAAAAAAAAAATGTTAATAACTGTATTACATTCACAAGGAGATGTGGAAAATGTGCTTGAAATTGGCCCAAAGCTGCATGCTCAAACAACCATGGGCAATAGCAAGGCAACACATCAAATGGTTTGGAACACTGCTCTGAACACAGCAGCACTGACTCCATGCCATGTTGGTATTAAGCAGCATTCTTGTTACTTTGAGACACCATTAGGGAAAAGGTAGCATCCACTTCCAGACCTCATCTTGTTGATATCTGCCATACATTTTCAGACTCTTCCAATTCTACACCGATGTCCCCTAAACCTGCTTCTAAGAGGTCTTATAGTACTATTTTCCAACAGGAGGCTTTTGAGTAAGTCTAGTCTTTGCTGATCCTTATTAAAAAATCTGAGTGATATCACTTATATTCCTATCTCAATTCTGAAGTATCTTTGTAGGGAGGTTTACTAGACTTTATATAATAAAAATCTTTTTATGTTAAAATTTTGTATGAATTTATTGAGATCTTTAAAGGTGAGCTCTAGGCTTCCCCCTGCAACTAATCACTGGTATCAAAAAATAAAAAAAAAAATCTACAGTCGGGTCCATAAATATTGGGACATTGACACAATTCTAACATTTTTGGCTCTATACACCACCACAATGGATTTGAAATGAAACGAACAAGATGTGCTTTAACTGCAGACTGTCAGCTTTAATTTGAGGGTATTTACATCCAAATCAGGTGAACGGTGTAGGAATTACAACAGTTCGCGTATGTGCCTCCCACTTGTTAAGGGGCAAAAAGTAATGGGACAGTTGGCTTCTCAGCTGTTCCATGGCCAGGTGTGTGTTATTCCCTCGTTATCCCAATTACAATGAGCAGATGAAAGGTCCAGAGTTCATTTCAAGTGTGCTATTTGCATTTGGAATCTGTTGCTGTCAACTCTCAAGATGAGATCCAAAGAGCTGTCACTATCAGTGAAGCAGGACATCATTAGGCTGAAAAAACAAAACAAACCCATCAGAGAGATAACAAAAACATTAGGCGTGGCCAAAACAACTGTTTGGAACATTCTTAAAAAGAAGGAATGCACCGGTGAGCTCAGCAACACCAAAAGACCCGGAAGGCCACAGAAAACAACTGTGGTGGATGACCGAAGAATTATTTCCCTGGTGAAGAAAACACCCTTCACAACAGTTGGCCAGATCAAGAACACTCTCCAGGAGGTAGGTGTATGTGTGTCAAAGTCAACAATCAAGAGAAGACTTCACCAGAGTGAATACAGAGGGTTCACCACAAGATGTAAACCATTGGTGAGCCTCAAAAACAGGAAGGCCAGATTAGAGTTTGCTAAATGACATCTAAAAAAAGCCTTCACAGTTCTAGAACAACACCCTATGGACAGATGAGACCGAGATCAACTTGTACCAGAGTGATGGGAAGAGAAGAGTATGGAGAAGGAAAGGAACTGCTCATGATCCTAAGCATACCACCTCATCAGTGAAGCATGGTGGTGGTAGTGTCATGGCGTGGCCATGTATGGCTGCCAATAGAACTGGTTCTCTTGTATTTATTGATGATGTGACTGCTGACAAAAGCAGCAGGATGAATTCTGAAGTGTTTTCGGGCAATATTATCTGCTCTTATTCAGCCAAATGCTTCAGAACTCATTGGACGCCTCTTCACAGTGCAGATGGACAATGACCCAAAGCATACTGCAAAAGCAACCAAAGAGTTTTTTAAGGGAAAGAAGTGTAATGTAATGCTATGGCCAAGTCAATCACCTGACCTGAATCCGACTGAGCATGCATTTCACTTGCTGAAGACAAAACTGAAGGGAAAATGCCCCAAGAACAAGCAGGAACTGAAGACAGTTGCAGTAGAGGCCTGGCAGAGCATCACCAGGGATGAAACCCAGCGTCTGGTGATGTCTATGTGTTCCAGACTTCAGGCTGTAATTGACTGCAAACGATTTGCAGCCAAGTATTAAAAAGTGAAAGTTTGATTTATGATTATTATTCTGTCCCATTACTTTTGGTCCCTTAACAAGTGGGAGGCACATATGCAAACTGTTGTAATTCCTACACCGTTCACCTGATTTGGATGTAAATACTCTCAAATTAAAGCTGACAGTCTGCAGTTAAAGCACATCTTGTTTGTTTCATTTCAAATCCATTGTGGTGGTGTATAGAGCCAAAAATGTTAGAATTGTGTCAATGTCCCAATATTTATGGACCTGACTGTAAATGCCCCTTTTACGCTCCTAAATCCACAATCACATGACAGTCTGGTACCAAGTTTCCTCCTCCTTCCTTGCACAGGAGGTAGAGTCCAACAGGTGCCAACATAATTGTCAGTGATATATGGACACTTCCTATTGGCTGTCCAGGGTCGTGGTGTCTCAGGATCCAGAAGAACGTTTTCAGGCAATGGCATCAGCGTGAGGCTTCCTTCAGGGACCAGCCGACACATCTGCTGCACTGGACCTGGAACCATAGTTAAAAATGGCTACCCTAAACACTTAAGTCTGCAGATTAACACCACTTTATAGTATATTACCTTTTATCTCCCAAAATGTAATTAAAGGCAAAACTTTTTAAAATTTTGGAGTAAGGGAGCATTATAACTTCTGTCAGTTTTTTTTTCCATCTATGTCACATAGGGAAGATTTCCCTTCACTTCCTGTCCCATAGCCAAAAAAGAAGTGAGGGGAAATTCCTCCAGAGTGAGGGAATCCCTGGGTGTCGCCAGAGTCATAACAACTAGCGTCCTCATTGGAGGATTTTCCCCCTATTACTGTTTTGATTCCAACCCAAACATTCAGATTTTCCTTTACTTTCACTTTTGACGATAACATTAAACAAGACAATTAGGATGACTCTTCCCATTCTGCCTCCAGAAGGAAAATCATCATGTTGTCCTGTCTGCAATATTAAATTTGGCCACTAGGTGGAGCTCAGAATTTACTGCTTAGCAGAGACCAGAGACTGGTTTGTTAATAGTTTTGTTAATAAAAGTTCCCATCATCCTTCATTAAAAAAAGAAACAGGTGCATCCTGGGCGCTCAGGCTCCATTTTAAGAACTGAGGGAGAGGAATCATCTATAAACACCCGCAGCACATGTCATAGACTAAACTTAGATCCCCTACAGGCAACATAGCTGGGGAGCATGGTCTTATTGCCATCTGCAGCCTAGGTATTTCACTGTGTTTTGCATGTTGAGTTATACACAGGGAAACGTGTAGTGAGGACAGAACACTCCCTAACGGAGGCACAGACAGCAATAAATCTAATAGGCGTTCTAATACCTTTCAACTCTATTCATAAGAAAAACAATTTTTTCCTTTTTTTACACTTTAACCCTTTCCCCTGGTTCTTAATGTGTATCTAGAACGATACAATGCTGCAAAATACACCTTATAGGTCAGTGCTGATTCATGTCCCCATCTAACGACAACTATTAATATAATTATATTAGATCATATTAAAATATTTTTTGTATAGTTAAACATTCTCCTAGTTCTGTAAGTTGATTACATGATACATATATATGGTGGTGGGCGGTCAGGACCAGCAAGGCCTTCTCTACTGGCCAAATCGCTGCCTAAACTATCAGAATCACTGACTTATGTTTTAATATATTTTTTTCATGAATCTGTTATTCCCGATAGTCTGTTTTCATCATTTCATTAGCAATTCTCTTGGTTTTGTTGCATCCAGTAGTATATGTTTATATTAGAGCTTTTATCCAATCATATTTCAACCATCATTTCAACAATCACTGACTTATGTTTTAATATATTTTTTTCATGAATCTGTTATTCCCGATAGTCTGTTTTCATCATTTCATTAGCAATTCTCTTGGTTTTGTTGCATCCAGTAGTATATGTTTATATTAGAGCTTTTATCCAATCATATTTCAACCATCATTTGTTGCCAGGGTCAAAGAAATCTACCTTGAGGTCTTCAGAATCAACAGTGCAGGCACTTGTAGCTTACAGTAAATGGCAATTTAACTGTTGCTTTAATCAGATTTTGAGTTGACGA